CAGCAGGAATGTATCTCAAGACTGAGAGAGATTACCATTCAATTGCATAGGAAAAGACAGTTTAGAAGCAATTGGAAAAGATTACTTGATAGGTTAAAGTCATACCCAAGTCTAGTATAAACATACATTGTAGTAGATATATAGAGGGGAGGAGTAATTGTAAGTAGGATACAAAGATCAGGACTAGTTCTAGAGTCAAAAAGAACTAGTGGATGTACATATTATACTTGGTTGAATAAAAATTTTATTGTTTGACCAAACTAAATAGTTGTCCATCTTATCACTTAAAATAGTCGGAGGATGTATAATATGTTATTCCTTCTAATCCACTTTAATTAATTTGTTGGTTGTTTTCACATATATTAAGGATCCACCTTTTAGCGCTAATTAATAATGAAATTGATCATGTTAATCTTAGTTTGTTTATTGAAAATACAACAAATACTCGTAGACTCTTTATTCCAAGGCAACTTTAGAAAGAAAAAAAAGTTAACTCTTTCGCGATATCTGAAAATATCAAATATTATAGACCACAAAAAAGGACAAAAAATTAATTAAAGTGGATCAGAGGGAATATAATATAATTTATGTATAATATGTATATAATCATAAATCATGTATAATCAATGTATAATTTTTCTATGCTGGCTTAAAATAGTATATAAAAATTCATTCAAAATAACTTATGGCCTTAATAATCTTCTTTTGAAAAGAACGTGCTTTTCATTAACTTTATTCTAATTTCAGTTATTCTTTTCAAGTCAAACTAATATGATCTAGTCAACCTTTGACTTGCACCCTATATACCTAGCAATTAGGGTACTTGTCCCATGATACAACCCAAAGAACAAAAGTGAAACAAATAAGCACAGAATTAGCTGAACGGGAACAAACTGGACCACATTTAGAAACCAGATGCTTTACAATAATTAATCTATATATTATGGTACGAATCATATTTAAAGAAATAATGGGATATGCTTGCATGCTTAATTATATGCTTTTGTCCTTTTAATTTACCTAATTTCTGGATCCATTGCATAATTCCCAAGAATGAAATCTAACAATACACTGTGATATACAGTGCTATAACAGGAAAAGTTGTAAAGGCGTGAGGTTATTGTAATAATGTTCTTCACCATATATATATATATAGAGAGTCCGAAATCAAAATGTGATTCTTTTGGACTCAAAGTACACAAATAGGTGGAAAAAAAGAAAGATTACATTTTTATGTATAGTGCCACAATACTTGGCGCTATACATTAACGTTAACTGTGCCGTTAATGTATAGCGCCAAGTATTGTGGCACTATACTGAAAAAGCTGACACGCCCAGGTATAGCGCCATAATACCTGGCGCTATATATAAAAGTTTATGTATAGCGTCAGGTATTGTGGCGCTATACTCCTTTTTCCTGGCCCCACCAATAATTTCTGACTTCAATAATTCAAAAGCGTATAATGCCAACTTTTTTGGCGCTATATATATATATAAAAAATTCCCGGCCAACCAATTTCCTATATAAAAAGGTTATGATTGTATATAAATTCATTTAAAAAAAAATTTAACTATTGTTGAAACGTCTATTGTTGTTAAATTCTCCAGCATTTTTTCATTTTATTTAAAGAGCGTAGGATAAGAGTTTCATTATATTGGGGGGGGGGGGGGGATGAAGTTGTGATGGAGAATAACTATGTGGACTACAGTTTACCTGCTAAGTGTCATGTTAAATTGCCACTTACAATGGAGTACGATAAATTGATATCGCTGTAATGCAAAAAAATGAGTGTGAGAAAACGTTCAGTGATACTTAAAGTAACCGGAAGATATATGTATTCTGTTACTCCGCAAGGGGTTGCTTTTTACTCGGAGTTTAACATCGACGATGATGAAACTTTGAGTGATTTCCTGAGGACTCCGGACGAATGCCGGGAATTTCTTGTAATCACAATATTGGAGATGTACGCGAAGGTCGAAGACGTTCCAAAAAACGAGGTTGTGCGTATTAGAGATAACCTCCAGTCATCGGGTGGTTATTCTAGATCAGTTTTTGCCGGACAAGTTCGAGATGAAAGAGTTTTCAGAAAGCAAATAGATTGAAATTTTGACTCCGGAAGTGTGAATCAACAATAACACAAAGCTCTACTCGAATGTGGGACCTACGTTCTTCAACTTTTATGTGCCGGGGGGACCCAGAATTTTTTTTTTAAAATGGTGGGCAGCAGCAGGTATGGGGGGGACCAATCCAGCTTGCTACCTACGGGGTCACGTGAACCCAGTAATTTTTGTCCAAACAATGTAAATTTATTCCAAAAATTCACTAAATATTTATAAATGTTTGAATGTGAACTCAGTTACTACTAAAAATTTACTCGTTGTTGAAGAACCTATAAACATATATACATACAATATATATATATATATATATATTTATATTGTATGTATATATATATTGATATAGTTGAGTAAATAAATGTTTGTTTAATATAAAGCATATATGCTTCCTTGTTTGTAAGCATCTTTGTGTTAATTAACATAAAAAGTTGAACGTTTGTCGAACTTCTATTGGGTGTCTTCAGTATAAGGAGAGAAGAATTAACTTTTAGTTGTTCTTTCTTATTTGTTCTACTGGAAATTATTTATAAGCTAAAGTGGACATAGTAGAAAATATCATTGTTTCTTAATTAAGTGTGCAACCTTAAGCGCTATCCTCAATTCCTAACTAGTTGAAATTATTCTTTAATTTCAAGCTAGTTGAGATTGGATATATGAATCAATCACTTTAGATCTCGCATTATCGCATACATACTTAGAGGCGGATTTATGGGTTATAACGAGGGATCATCGAACCCCGTAAGTTTTGGCAGAAATTTTCTCTCTCTATATATATATACACATACATTTTGAAACTGGTTAATTTAAAGTACTTTGCACCCTAAACACTAAAAACCCTTAGGGGTGTACTGGTTGAGCAGAATATTGTGCCCCGTCGCATAAAAAACTTCGGTCCGCCTCTGCATCCTCCTTTAGCTCTATAAAACCCTTCTACTTTTTCTCATAATCAGTTTAATTATTCATATTCCTTAAATGTCCTTTATATTTCATGTGACTCTTTTATTACCTAACAGTGAGAGTACATATAATATTTCCAAAATAGAGAGAAAGAAAAAGAAAAAAAAAGGAAAGCATTCACTTTTAGCCATCTATATAACTCCAGGTTTGGAACACATCTCTTTCTCAAAGAAGAGACAAGGAACTTTTAAGGTTCCTGTTAATGTCCTCTACCTTGTAACCCTAATAGGTTGCAGAGAGAACAAACCCCTTGGGTCAGGGGAGGAGCCAAAAGGGTACAGAGGCTTTGTTGGAAAATTATACTGTATATGTAAGATTATAATTATTTTTATGTAAATATACTAGAAGTTGAATCTTCTTAGCTAGTTCATGTTTATTGTTTGTATTCTGAATCGCCTTACTGAAAATCTTGGCTCCGCTACTGTCTTGGACGCATCAACTACATGCCTCGTTAGTAACTCTCGGTAAGAAACGGATGGGTGACAGAAGAGAGTGAGCACACATGGTTCTTGCATGGATAAATCCCATGCTTAAAAGCTATGCGTGCTCTCTCTCTATCTGTCACACACCAACAATTCTTTCACATATCTATCATCTTTGTTTTATAGATCTGTAGGCAAATCTAGAATTTAGAGTCAACTGGTTCAGATTAATATATATGTGATTTTTAAAGATTTTATAATTTTTAAATATGCTTATATTAAGTGATTCTAGCAGAGTGAAATAAGCTTATAATTTTTAAATAATATGCTTATATTAAGCACAAAGATTCTGGGATGAATGTTTTGCCTTCAGAACGTAAGAATATTTTCCCTCTGTCAATTTTCATTTTTGTAAATCTGTGAGAGTTCTCTATAATATTTGCAGAAAAGATTTAGAAACAATACAAAATTAGAAGCCTCATGTTTAAGAAATGTTAGAAATTATTTTGTTGAAACAAGTTATGAAATGTCAAAGAACAGTGAAATTAGAATGGTATAATATTAAGGCCCCGTTGGTCCATAATTTTTTTTTCTTTTTTTTTATTTTTTTTCAAAAATATTTTTGTCCAATAAATTTTGCAAGTTCTTGAAATTTTTTTATTTTCAGAATTTTTTTCTCCACGCACAAAACTGCAATATTTTTTCAAGTGAAATGCATGTCCAAACAAAATTTCAAATTCCAAATACTATTTTCCTACTTAACTCCGAATTTACATTTTTTCAAATATTATAATTTTTATGTCCAAATGCCTACTACATAACTCGTGTTGGCCCATAATAAGTTACTTAGTCTTAGACCAACTTATTTCTACGTTATAGCTAAGTTTTTTGCAAACGATCTTTGGATATTTTAAGCATGTAACAATAGAAGATATAACCAGGCAAAATTGAATTCGTTTGAATTCAGTACTTTTGATACAATATATTAATTTATGTATAATAATTTATTAAAATTCCAATAAATAGGTAGGTCTAGGATATCTAGAATTGGGTAATAATATAAGAATGCTTAACTAATTTACCATATATTGTAACAGCTTGTTTGGATGGTTGTTCCGTATTGTATTGTATCGTATTGTTACTTTAAACACAAAGTTTGTTTTGATTGTTATTTAAATTTTATTGTATCGTATCCTTAAATCCATCGCTCGTAAGGACGAAAAATGTCAATTTATGGAACGACAGATTTGGTGTGGTGGCGTCGTAATTACCTTGTTTTTCCCTCTCATCTTGCTATTTCTTATTATTAAATAATCATATTTTATCTTTTACTTGACTTTTTTATCTAATAATCCTATTTTGTATCCCATTTTTCTTAGTAATGTTGCAAGTTTATTCTTCATATTGTTGGTGCTCGACATCACTAAATGATTACAAACGATACAATATATCCAAATATTATATTTATCAAATAATACAATACGATGCAATATAATACAATANTAGAGAAGTTGTTGCCTAAAGCTCATCGCTTTTTCCTCATTCATGTCATGCCTACCATCACCGCCATTCCAACTCCCTGTAAATTTTCCTTCATATACGTCTATATGCATATGATTAATTGACTATATTGAGTTTTTTTTTTCTTACATCTTGTTAATTAGTTACCTTAAATACTCCTTTACTATCTTTTATTAGCACAAAAAAGTCTTGCTAAGGATGCAATGATCACTTTCATTTCAGTTTGAGTTGTTTTCAATAGTACGAGGGTGTAAATGTTAGTTCAATGATATCGAGACGAAGAAATTTATGTTGTGCTGTCAAGTCTCTGCATAAAAGATATTTTCTTATTATTTATATTGTATTTTTTCAATTTTTTTGCTATTTAGAGAGGTAAAGTTCTGTGATCAAGGAAAACATATCTAATTTGTCTGGTATGATACTGTCTGCTTGGGGCTAAAGCCCTTACTGTTTTTACCAAAAGTCCTCATACTATTAGAAGTATAATTAAATGTATATGTAGTTTCTAATTCCTATCAACTTCCAATGAGGTACTTTGTTCGCTCACCCAACAAATTGAGTATCACATAGACTCATGAGCTTATCTAGAGATTAGCTATGTGTCACCCGTTCCATCCGAGTATTTTATGGACCCTAAATGCCCAAAATCTTCTACTCGTGTGTGCATCTCCAAACGATGGGCCACACCGCCAAGGCTATCCATTTTGCACCATCACTCCAATGGGATTGCTTTTTAGCTCTTCATGGGCTGCAATGTGAGAGCTACTCACTGCCATTTTCATACTCGCCGTGTCAAGCCATCAGCTCTGATATCACTTGTAGGGTTAAACCGACCTAAATGTTACTCTTAACATGGAATGATAATATCTCCCTATGGATCAAACCGGCAAGGTTCTTCAAAAGGGCTCATAGCATTAAGAATATCATTACACATATATAGCTACTATTCTCATACATTTTCAGTATAGAATTTTACAATTTACTTTGCTAACTATTTTCCTTCTGTCCATTGTATTTGCAATTACAGAAATGGTTGTAAATTTTGTTTAAAAAAAATCGTGTGGCAATTGTTGTCTGTCATGAAGAGAAATTCAAAAATATTTACCGTTTAAACTTGCCTTTTCATGAAAGTGAGCTGGCTGAATTTGGTATGAACTGCTTTAGAATGAATCTGTCTCAGTTTCCTCACTCCATTCTAAAGATTACTTGGTTCGATCTTGATGCATGGTTATTTGATCTATTTAAAAGGCTATATTGATATCATAGCTGATCTATCCGCAAGATCATTTTAGTCTTCTGGATTTTGTAATATCTATGACTGGTGAACTTTATAGCAGGAAGGAGTATTCCAGTTAACGAGCTTGATGACAATGTGGTGGAAATGTATATTGAGGATATGAGGGCCAAATGTAAAGAAATATTTATCCCATTTAAGAATTTATGCAATCGAAAAAGTGTAAGCTTTCTCTTCCTTTTTCTTCTCCTTCTTTGGTTGGTTAAATGTTTCTTAACTTAGAATGATTGTCATATGTTCTAATGTCTAAACTTCCTATAGGTTGAAACTGTGGTGCTGGAAGGGGATAATCCTGCAACAATGCTTCTACAATATGTAACTCAGGCTGGGATTAATACTCTAGTGTTGGGCTCTTCCTCTCCCAGTTACTTTTCCAGGTATGGCATAGGATCAAGATGTCTTGGATTTGCATTTGTTAGAGATATATAATGTTTCATATCGGTTGCATAACGCTGCTCAATAGGATAATGGGCCTAGCTGTATCACTTATCACATAAGGTGTCTATCGGAGGCTCATATTCTTTTCCATGGCATGGCAACCGAAAAGATCATTTGTTCGAATTTCATTTGAAGAATTTTCAAATGCTTGGCCTATGGAAAATAGTCTGCACTTGAGGGGCATGTTGAAAATCTAATTAAATATAAGTGTCACTTCTGTAACAATTCAAATTTTGATCAGGGTTCATACTATTCAACAGTTTAATTGTCCAAGTTATGATTACAAAGATTTTGACTGGTATTATGAGGCCTGTCTTTCTGAAGATTATGTTGCATCAAGAGTTACCCAAACTGTTATTGATCATGGTTAATCTAATTGATTTTCTTAATCTCCATAGTAGGAGTCCTGTTCTCTGCCGAAATATTATGTTTATCTGACGATTTGTATCTTTGGGCTGCAACTTGAGCTTTTAGATGATAATATCGTGATGCTTGATTTTTTTTATTACTACTGGTGCTAAAACTTTTAATCAATTTTAACCAGGAGGCAGAAGGATTCGGGCGTACCATCTGTTATCCTGAAGCATGCTCCTGAGTCTTGTGATGTTTATGTGGTGTCGTCAAATGGGCTTCTGAAAAACTCCTTGAGTCCCCTGTTACCTACTGGTACATGAAAAAAAAAATCCTCTCTTTGTTATTACCTTGATTTCGTTTGTCATCTCTCTTTTGCCTTCCGAGAATAGTAGTTTTAACTTCCAACAAGTACTTTCTATTCTGAAACAGAGACAGAAGTTCATACTATCAATCAACAAGAATCCAATGTGTCTTATGCCGCCATGGAATTTAATAGAAGAGCATCATCACTTCCAAACTTTACCCACCTGAATTCTCCAGCATTTGCACATGGGAACTCTTCTATTCATTTCAGGTCTCAGCAAAGATATAAACAAAATGTAGAAGAATTTACAGCAGGTCCGGAGGTGGTCAAGGGTGGTCATTCTTCCACTTGTTCAGAGCAGGTCAATTTGTTTTTATCAAACTTTCTCTTGAATATTGTACTATTTATTACAATGTCTTATTGGAGTATTTTATTACGTGTAACAGTATCAAGAGTAAGTATGTTGAGGTATTTTTTTATGTCGTTGAGCAGTCAGACATTCAGGCTGAAATGGAAAGAATGCGCTTAGAATTACAAAATACCATTGCAATGTACAACCAAACGTGTGAACATCTGATCCATGCTCAAAACAAGGTAAAATCCTTATCTATTTATTTTACCTCGAAATCAGGTACTTGATTGCTCCTCTTTCATACGAGAAAATGAACAAATTTATGCTTTTTGTCAAAAAAAAGCATGACCTTCCCAAAAAAAAAAACAAATTTATGCTTTTTGTCAGAATCAACTTCTTGTCGTCTTCTTTATCTTAAGTTCCATTTGTGGTGATGGCTTAGAACATTACATGGTATACAGTAACTCTGTCACTAGGACAAATCACCTATTGCCTGACCATATTTGTCCGCGGTTACCATCAACCATATCTGAACGTAACCCTCTGGCTATCTTTCAGGTCCAACTACTTTCTTCTGAATGCATTGAAGAAGCAAGAAGAGTGAATGCAGCCCAGAAAAGAGAAGAAAGCCTAAGGAAAACAGCTGCTGAAGCAAAGAAGAAGCATGTGGAAACGGAGAAGGAGGTCATGATAGCAAGAAAGTTGCTCGCCGAAGAGGCTTGTGAGAGGCAGATAGCAGAGCTGAAGGCTCTCCAACAGTCCTTAGAAAAACAAAAGGTCGTCAATGCACTGATGTCATGTGATGGAAGGTATAGGAGGCTAACTAGAGAAGAGATTGAGGTGGCTACTGATTTCTTTTCTGACTCTAAGATGATTGGCGAAGGAGGCTATGGGAAAGTTTACAAAGGCAACCTTGATCATACCCCTGTTGCCATCAAAATTCTTCATCCTGATGCATCACAAAAGAAAGAGGAATTTCTAAGAGAGGTTCTCCTCAATCTCTATTGATTTCTTTCTCATTCAAAATATCTGGATTCTTCACCGCGACTGCTTTCCTTTCAAAGCACACGTGCATTTTTTAACTGAAGACACTTCTCTAGCGTTATTATCCGCACAAAATAATACTTCTGACCTNGGAAGAGCTACAATCATATACCTTGTGACTTGTATATCAATGTTACTTGTTTAGTACCTCACTAGATGCCTATGTCATGCCATTAAGTTTTTCGCTTCAGGCAACTGTGGCAATGCCATTCTGGCAAAACTTCCAACTTTAGATTAATTTCGTATTAAATTATATGTAGGTTGAGGTTCTTAGCCAGTTGCATCACCCAAATATTGTTTTACTGCTTGGAGCCTCTCCAGAAAATGGCTGTCTTGTTTATGAGTATATGGAAAATGGAAGCCTGGAAGATTACATTTTCCAAGGAAAAAACAGACCTCTTCCCTGGTTTGTTCGATTCCGGATACTTTTTGAAGTGGCATGTGGTCTTGCATTCTTGCACAACTCAAAGCCTGAGCCCGTTGTTCATCGAGATCTAAAACCAGGAAACATACTGTTGGACAAAAATTATGTGAGTAAAATTGGAGATGTGGGTTTAGCAAAAATAATGTCAGATATTGTTCCAGAAAGTATTACTGAGTATAGGGACTCCATTATTGCTGGCACTCTTGCTTACATGGATCCGGAGTATCAAAGAACTGGCACCCTGAGACCTAAGTCTGATCTCTATGCTTTTGGAATAATAGCACTTCAACTATTGGCTGCTTGTCATCCTAAAGGCCTTATCATGAAATTTGAAAAAGCTATAGTTAGTGATTCGCTCGCGGATGTACTTGACAAGTCAGTAGTAGATTGGCCATTGATTGAAGCAGAAGAGCTAGCTAAGATGGCACTACAATGCTGTAAGCTTAGATGCAGAGATAGACCAGATCTTGAGACTGAAGTTCTTCCACTTCTGAAAAAGCTTTCTGAATTTGCCGAAATGCATGTCAAGTCAGAGAAAAACCTTATCCAGGCACCTAGCCAGTACTTCTGTCCAATCCTTCAGGTGAGAATACAAATTCCATGAGATGACTTGATAGTTTGTAAAGTCCTTTTTTCTAGTAACATGCATCATATTCTGCTGCCTTGTCTATTATCACGCGACATATTTGCAGGAAGTAATGGAAAGCCCACATATAGCAGCTGATGGCTTTTCATATGAGCATAGAGCAATAAAGGCATGGGTTGACAGACATAACGTGTCACCTGTGACGAAACAGAGACTGCAACACAAGATGCTTACCCCAAACCACACATTACGCCTTGCCATACAAGATTGGAAGTCACATTTGTAATGTGTGCATATATCAAGCCAATAATAGTTCCGGAGAACAATAAAGGGGAAGGAGTGAAAGGAAAAGAACTTGGACATATATTATATTCTGTTGGAGAGGTGTCTCGAGAACAAAATATAGTTTCACTGTTGTTCATTGACATTACTCAAGTGCATTGAAAGTTACAATTGTAGTCTTATAAGCATTTATATTGCATTTGATAGTCGAGAACACAAAGAATGTAGACAATTGTGTTTCATTATCCCGGGAATGAAGAAACAGATTGCATGCATCTTTTCGTTCAATTGCACAAGTCTGCTCTGAACTGTATGCTTTCACTAAGAAAGTCGTTGATTCGTAAAATGCAGTGACATTGAACAGACGATACTTATTCATTTGGAAGCAAGGCAAAACTGGGTATAATTTCCATCATTCAATGGCAGTGATGAACTCAGCAAAGAATGTTTTTGGAGACAAGACATTACTATACTAGTGCATTAAGGCACATAACCTGTAATAAAAAGTTTGTGGAAATTCAGGAATTAATCCATAATACCGTCAGACTTAGAGCAGCTATATATAGGACATCTCATTCTTGAAAGAATTTAACTTACATATTGTGACAGTGTAAAGTTTTATACTACCGGTATATCTTGACTTATTGCAGTAAACTCTTATTTCCAAGTGGTTAATCTCACTTTTTATGGACTACATTTAGTTTATCTTTTAGCTCACATGACAATGTAAAAGTCAGTATAAAGGAAGCTAAACTCTTCTTGAAAAATATTGTGTCATGGAATTTGAAAATAAAACATGGGAAGCCATTACCGATATAGAAAATAATTGTTCAAAATTTAACCAAAAAAAGTTGTTCAAGACTTGGAGCCTACAATCCTACAGATGGTGTAATTTGGAATTGGGGTAAATCTTACAAAATAACTTACACGTATTCGTGAAAATTGTATTAGCTGATCCTTTTATCACATATATTCAACTAGGAGCAGCATATATTCAAATCATATACACAGCACATGACTTTTTTTTTTCCCTTTTTTGTTTAGGTTGACAAACCATAACCACTATATCTAACTTTAAATGATGCTGATAGCTGCAATGCTTCAAACAGTTATTGACTGAATTTGTTGAATATCCCTATACATATATGCACAGCAGCTGTATATTTTAACTATATAAAGATCACAGATTAGAGAGCAAGCAGTCCAAATTATGTCAAGCATCAACTTGAGTAAATTCTAGTGCATTAGCATCTGGGTCTCGAGTGAAAATGGCTGGCCTCCCAGAGCGACTAAGGGTGTAGGGAATACCTGAAATGGAAGATGAAGAGTGGAATGAATGTCCAGAATTCTTTAATATTCTCAACTCAGAATGTAAAACAGCAAGAATTTAAATGAATTACCAGCTTCATCAAGGATAACTTTCAGCTTAGACACATCGCGAATTGCTATGCAAGTATGACGATCTCGCCCCCCATGTTCAGGCCGACCAGTCAAGGGATCTGGATTTGGAAGCTCCATTAGATGTATCATCTCTGATCCCACCCACAACCAAGCACCTCTGTAGGGAAGCTTGTCATGTGGTCTTGCCTCATTTATTTCTAGTCCTGATCATTCATGAGCTTTCAGAACCGCGGACTTATGTATTCTAACAGGAAACTAGTCATCCACTTAGAAAGTAAAGTGTGTTACCAAGAATATTCTGATAAAAGTCCAACGACCTCTCAAGGTTTTCACATAGTATTCCAACGTGGTGCATGCTAACAACTCCAAAATCTGCAGTAGATCAAAACCATTACTTACAATCAGATATATTTCGATCATTATACTAGAAGACCAGTTTGGCCTTAACAATCTTTTTTTTTTTGATTCGCACCGGGTGTCCGAGTCTCTTCGAGCTCCGACTAATCCCGGGGGTGCACAGGCCCTCGGCAAGGAGTTTCCCGCAAGTTCACCCCGGTTAATTCAGGTTTTACCCAGTCCGATGGCCCTCAGAAATTGTTTGCACCAAGTGGGTTTCGAACTTGAGACCTTGAAAGGGAGCAAACCCCAAGGCTCAAGTCAATTACCACCAGGCCATCCCCTTCTGTTATCAAATAATTTCTATAAAGTCGGACTTTCTGGTGTAAACTCCATCGACCCATATGCAACCAATACCTTGAAAGATGGTATAAATTTACAAATAAGATGTGTATTCACCAATTGACTTCATGTACCCTTAAGCTGAACAACTTAATGGATTACGGTAACTGTACATTTCCTGAGATTCCATCAAAATTTCGAACAAGAATATCAAAGCTACTACTTATGTTTATTAAGCTAGAGCTTGACCATAACCAAAAGCTGTCTATATGTCACTCCAAATCAAAGCCAAAGAGAACACTAACAGGAATTAAAAAAGGCTAGAGTTTGGAACTATTATCATTTAATTTCTGGGTCTAATCAAATTTAAAATTACAAAAGTGGGAACAGATTCACTCATTTTTTTCACACGGTATCGATACCAGAACTAAATTGCATGCATGACCAAAGGACCACAAATGATATCATGAATTCCTTAATTATTAGCTATTTCTTAATGATGATATAAAAGAATATAGAGAAATCCGATGAAAATTTTGACTGCATGCTGTTTAAGATGGCAAAGAAGGATCACCCTTATCATCAACAGCATTGGCGCCTACAGAATCTTTTGCAAGCATATCCGTTTCAACCGACGCTTTAGCTCTCATCAGCAAACAATGCCTGTGGCTCCTTTGCCGTGTTAAAAATGGTTGAAATTTTTTGCATGGTATTGTGCTGGTAGCTACAGATAGGACACCCCCAGGATTCAGCTGAACATAGAGGGGTTTTTCAGGACATATCAAGTAAACCAACAAAGCCAAAGAAATAATGAACAAACACATCAGTAATAGTACATATGAAGCTACCATTTAAGTCATTCTTGATCCATCCATTAGTAGGAGAATACAAAGTATGATTGGCATATAGCATAACTACAAGTATCATAAAATGACTATTTCAAACAAAAAAAACTGAAAGAAAAACAGTAAACACAATGGAATAGAATTGAATACTTTTCCAATCTCCTTCACATAGAAGGCAGTAAACTGCCTTGGAGGTCACAAGCAGTAATCTTCGCCACATATAAAGCACAAAGAAAGAAGCTTTAAGATTGTCTAATCTAAATTTCTTACCAGAGGTGACTTCAAGTTTGTTTTCTTTTGTATTTCTCTTTCTTTCATCAACAGTTAACTCTAATTACCTACTCTTGAATTACAATTGTGAATGACAAATGAGACTCGACTGATAAAGAATGGGGAAAACCAGCTAATCTGGAAATTGTCTCAGATATTACACCAAACCATAGAATCAACAATTCCTTCACAAAGATATAGCTTTCCTAAGCAATGCCTACTTAACTAGTCAAGAATATAGTAAAAGCCACTTTTTGACACAAATCATTGCAATAAGCTTATAATCAATTTGCCATTAAGTAAAGGAGGCCTTGGGTGTTGCAGTGGCTTCTGACAAAGTAATTCTTGAAAGAAAGAGTTGAAAAGCTTCACTTTTGATAAAATCCAAAAACTATCTACTCCAAAATAGAGCTTAATCTTGTTAAGTAGCTTACTAGCTGATTTTTTATAGTGACACCCCCACTAGTCCACAGGCTACCTGCTACCTCCCACCAGCAAAGGTACCGAATAACTCTGCCCACCAAGGCAACTGTGACGAAATCACCTAACATTTTTTTCCTTTGGTGAGATTTGAACCTGAGGCCAAGGCCTCCTCCTGCTTCATTGACCACTAGATCGCACCGTTGGGTGCTACTAGCTGATTTTTGTACTAATTGCAGGTTGACTTTAACAGACTACCGAAAAGTTAAAGCAGTTTGTTCAAATTTTTAGGATAAGCAACTACGTAGCTGCAAAAAAAGGGGCGCATTAGGAGTAGGTAAGACAAGTACTTTGGAATAACTCCTTCGAACTAAATCAAGTTTCATTAAGCAGTGACAGCTAATTAACAGGCAAAAACCAACTAAATAACATTTTAACAAAATTAATCCTAATTAACTTAGCTGTTAGTATGAATATCAACTTTCTATATGCAATATACGAATTATTTATGCAACAAATAAATAAATAGGGATTGAAATGTCAACATATACATATATGTATTGCGAAGAGTGTGAATTTTACCTTGTTTTGAGGCAGAGTGAGAGGTGGGTTCAGCAGAGAAGCCATCGAAGAAGGAAAGTTTCAACTTTGGCGAGTTACGGGTATTTAGTGAGAGTCGTTAGTTTAATATTTCTGGATTTTATTTGGCTAACTGAAAAAGACCATAAAACAAAGTAATGAGATGGCTCCACGTGAGCGGCTCATAGTTTTCAGGTGAAGTACACCACTTGTTTATGTGGGGGCAAATCTATAAATTGTACTAACTTTGTTCCCTGCATTTCTATTTCGACAAATTAGGGGTTCCAAATCCTATTTTGAGTCGATGGTGTTTGACAAAAAATTGTTAACTTCCGGTTAAAATGATTATACTTATTTATCGAAGGATTAAACCTAGTTAATAAATTTTTTCTAAATGTAAACTCTGAGGATGTGGCTAACGTATAGACAGATATGGTAGAGAGTTAAGGATAACATTCAATGAATATTTAAAGAGATGTGGGCAATAATGGAGGAGTAACTAATAATAAATTGCAATAAATGACATTTATATAAATAAAAGAAGGGATTCACACGATAAATAATGAACTAGGTGATTGTTCCTCCTGACAATGATGAGTGACAGATAGATCTTAGAACATTCGAAATATCCTTGGATTTGATGGAAAAACGTAGAATAACATAAACAAGGATCTTGATAAAAAGGTAATCTTTGTATCTTTGCAAGTGTGAGAGAATCTTTCTGTAAAGTCTGCTCTTATTACAATGAATGTCACATGGCCCTTGTCATTCTCTTTTTTCCTCTTTATATGGGACATACCCCTAACAAACCCTAATAGTACAAGTGCAGAGAATATATATTCTCTCTAATATCCTATTCTAATAAACTAGCCGTTACAACTCTTTCTGCGTTGCTCGACCTCGACCGTCATTAGCACCTCGATCACGAACCTCGTTATTTCCTGGTCGACCTCGGCTGACTCTTTTCTCGATGTTACTTTGCCTCAAGTACTGAGACAAATTTCGATCTATACAGTTAGCCCCTCTACTTATTAAGGCCAGCCTCATGCGACCTTGATGAGCGGATTCTGTTTATTGTAGTTGGCAAAATTGGGC